GACAACACTGCCGTTATGCGCCTATGCCCCAACTAGGAGGTTTTACTCCTGACCCACCTGTGCCTCCTTGAGCCTAAGATCGGGGGACTTTCTCGAGATCAGCAAAATCCCCGAGAGAGAGATGTGCAGTACAGTGCACTACAAGGTACAACGCTCTCACTGGTGGCGCTCCACTAGAGATCTAGAGTGTTGGAGCTTTCTCCCGTAGTCCCTGGGTCACTATAATTTTTTACTCGAGGTAATCTTTTTGTCCATTTAGGTGCTTTTACTTAGGTACTTTTTTTCAAGTAAGTCGTCCTCCCTCCCCCCAGTCTCTCCGGACTTGCTGCATTTTTCGGGAGCGGTGGGGTCATCTCCCAGCGGGAATGACGGGAAGCGTAGTACTGGGCTGTTGGCATAGGACGGCGACCACTCCAGATAACCTAGACAGCACACGGTCTCTCCTCCGGGCGGGGGAAGACAGTATCATACATAATATCAGACCTAATATCCCAAAGGAGTTAAAAAGAATCAGCTTCACCCATAGCTAGTTCCGAAACCACAACCCGGTAACACCAATCTCCGGGTAGTGTAGTAGGAAATATTCTTCGGCATCTTCGCCCGAGTCAGAGATACCTACTGATTACCATTTTCCCCCATTTTATTTACCCTTTCCCTTTGCTCCATTCAATCTGGCTTGCGTCTCCCCAAAAACATTAGGGCGCCTAGACAGAAGGAGGAAAGTGATCTTATGACAGAGTATCAGACGATAAGATGCGTGCAGATGCCAAACGCCCCCACAGTGCAATATAGACCCTGTCTGTGTTGAGCAACTACCTATGATACCTCCTGCTCGGGGAAAGGCAATGAAGAAAGCACGGAAGCAGCATCTCCACGATACTACACGGTATGACACATACCTTGTAAACCCACCAGAAGGGTTCTCAGACAGGACCTCTGAGAGCCAAATATTACTAATACAGATCTCATCCCTCCAGTGACCACCCTTTGAAGAGTTGATTGGAAATAATTGTAATGAGACAACACTAAATCACACCACTAACTTTCTTGTGCTATAGGCATAGTGGAACCCGGCTAAAACCTATCCCCAAATATCTCAAAAAATAAAATCCAGATGCCATGGGACTGTTCAAGTTTTTCTCACCCATTTTCCACCTACTTGGCCATTTATAAAGTAATCGGACGCCTTGGCATTATTAGCACCCATCCCGATGCTAAGCGTCCGAACACTTTATAAATGTCCAAGCAGTGCACGCATGAAATGCCATAAGCATACAAAAATCATAATACCGGTAGAATAGGCGCGGTAGCCCATGTAGTTGAAGAGAGTATCTGACAGTCTCGTATCCCGAGAACGAGGTGAAATCTTTAAACAATTGGTGCTTTGTTGGGGCAATAGACCTTTAACTCTCCTAAAAAACATCCAGCTAGACCTGCAAGGCTCTGCTTGAAGGTCACAGCGCTGGGTATGAATTATGGCACCCCTGCTATATGACGAATAGTATCCACACTATTTTTAGCACAAGGAAATTTTGAAGAGAGGCGGGTAATCATATCAAGTATACAGCACAATTCGAGTCATTCTAGTAGTGTGCTGTAAATGGATAATTCAAGTTGGTAAGGCTATGTGGAGAATATGGGTAACTTCTTGTTCAACCAATCAAATAGTAGAAGAAAAAAATTAGAATAGAGAAGCAAGATAGGGAGTTGCAGATAGAAGAATCTGGACTCTACAATTGTCTACTCCTGCAAGTCTCATAAACTCACAATTTATGGCACTTCCATACCCACTCCATATATATCCGAGCAACTCCTTCCTCTACCCATAAGGATTAAAAAAGTAGCACCCATCCCTCATATACCACAATTTTTTTACATAATACTAAGCCAATTAGATAAGCTAGTAGTAATTTAACATACCCAATATAATCAAATGGTATTAACCGCCTACAGTTAAATGTACAATAATATTGTAAGCTTCAAGGAATATAGAATCAGTAAAAGATTCAGGCGTGATTTAATTGTAGGGAACATTATTGAATTATGTGAATGGTAAAAATGCAGTGTTTACGATTACAAGAAATACATGAAAGATATCTAATCTATCTAGATTGTAGAATCCACTGGCAGAGCATATACAAAACTAGTACTAGTAGTGGAAAGCCAAGCAAGTCTCCTAGCAGAACAATCATAACTAGAAGCTGACACGCAAAGAAACATGCTGATTGGTGGTAAGAATGCAAGACACATTACAGGGGCAATCTTAAGACAAGTAGAGGTGTTGGTGGGATGAAAGCAGGGTTGAAACTGAAAAGGTAGAAAAGCTGTAACCAAAGCTAAGCACAACTTGAAGAGAGGGTTATGATTTACTGATGTTGATTGTAGAAACAAATAAAAATCCTATCAATTCATTTTCTGGGCTATCTAATGGGTTTGATATTATGTAACAAAATTGTAGTATGGGAGGGATAAAATATAGGTGCCTGCACCCATTCAACAGCATGCCAAAATCATCCCAATTATCTTAGCTCCTTTCCTAACTTCCAGAAAGCTGTACAGGCATAATACTCCGCCCGTTAGACCCCTTCCAGGCACTATTAGGCACCCAGGACCACCCCATTAGCTGCCTTAACATATTCGCCCCACTCTTTAGACAAATTCCCAACCCACTCCTCGACACTCACCCATCTAGAAACCCTAAAGGCCACACCCGGCAGGATAACCCCTTCCCCAGAGCCCAGATCCACACCACCATCACCGCAGCCCTGGATAAAGCTCCCTAAATTGCCAACCTCCGCTCGGCAAAGATGGCAGGGAAACCAGGAGGGCAGAAGATTGTGTTCCCGGACCCTAGATTTCCAAATCCCCACAGTGCAAGCTGCGCACGCTCCGTGGGTGCACTCCTTGAAGCTTACGTCGATCTCGTTGCCGAAACAGATCTTGCATTCCAGCCCTTCGTCCGCCCCCTCGATGGGGTTCAACCTCCGGGAGTTTGGCGGGGATAGGCGGTCCAATGTGGATACCAGAGCCCGGGAAGGAGTTCGCGGCGCCTGTCGGGGGTCCTGTATTCCTCCCGTCCCGAAGATTGACATGTCGAGGAAGGCTGTGATCGCCTCTTCCAGTAGCTCTAGTGCGTTGTACTCGATGGACATGCCAGTAGTTAATGTTTCTCTCACCTGTTTTTCGTTTGTCTTCTTTCCCTTTTGTTGGAGGGGTGGTCTAGAACCCTATCTATTGATTCGGCGGGAGGCAGTAGCTCCTAAATTATGATAAGTCTTTTTTTCGTTATGGCGCTGGTATGGTAGATAGCTTCAACAACCACGGGTTGTTAAAAGTAGCTGGAGAGAGCACTTGACTGGGTGTTTCATAGAAAGGTGGCTTCAGGACTAAATACCACAAGAATCTCGAGCTCTCTTGAATCCCGAAGCAAATATGGCGCCCTGCCCTCGTTCCGTCTTTGGGCCTTTGAAAACTTCCGGATATGACAGATACGATAGTAGCATCTGAACCATGCTCAAGGTACCTTCAGTCACAACATGTCACTCACGTCTTGGCAAAGGCCAAAATCCTGTGGGTGAGAGACTCTTATCATGTAGGGCTGTCTGATGCGACATATGATATGATGCCGCGCTTGCGCCCCCGAAGCCATGGACCCTCAGTAGCTATTACAAAAATCCTACTATGATATCATAATTCTCGGAGCGGAGGCAAGAGCCGTTTATCCCTATAATGTGGTTTGAAACTGGGGTCAATAGCACTGTCTAATCCCACCGTGCATACGCAAACCTGAAATGAAATTTTTTTTGAAGGACCACGATTGGTTTCATTCACAAACCTTGGGGCCTGTCACGGCTCTCATCAGATTGGACTGATGTATAATAACAATATTATTGTTGTTGTTGTTACGTAATTACGTCAATTAAACACAGAGTATCATACTCGTACTGTATCCCCTCCGAAATTAAAGTCGTGTATCATGCAGTACTGTACTACGCGATTTATGGTCTTGGAGGCTAGGTCACATGCATGGCGCGGATCGTGCGCTCCAACGCTTATCGGTCCAAGTTAATTCATTGCCGTAACCACCCGCGGCATTCTTTTCAAGTGACCTTGAAGTAGCATAGCATATCTGCCCCGGACCGGCGCTGTATCCATGATACTCAAACAAAGACCCAGGGCTCGGAAGCTTACTAGCGCTCATAGATGAAACAAAAAATGTGTGTATTATATATCTCGCCGTCCCGGAAACATTACCATACAAACCCCCTTTGACTCCGATATGCCATATCATATCAAATTCGTCAATTTCTCCGGGACCCCGACACCGGCGCGGGATCCCATCCATCATGAAAAACCAGTGGAGGGTACGGACCAGTTGGATTGAGAAAACTAAGCGCCCGCCATAATGGGTGGATTTCGCTACTTCTAATCCCGTCCTCGCGAGCCCGGAAAAGAATCTGGACTGGGCTGAAATGTGGTAGGTGGTTCCCGGCATCGTGGCCACCTACCTACATTCCTGAGGTCACTAGAGGCAGCGCGAGACTTTGATAGAGTCCAGGGTCTCAGGTGGCTCTTTGCGGCCCCTTGCAACTCCCTGTGGTCTTGTAGGGCTTGGTGAAATATGGTATTGTTCAGCAAAGAACTTTCCTCTGGCTGAGGACTATTGCCCTCCGAATACTCGTGATAGGATGGACTACGAGAGCTGTTCTGTCTAGTGTGGATCTCTTGGGAGGCTCTATTGAAATGCTCCAGGCTCGAACAGTTGCGGAAAGTGCCCGCAACCCACGCGCACCACTCTGCTCTGGAGGGTGCGCACTTGCCTAGAGCACCCCAAACGAGGCAGTTCCCAAGACCCCCCAGCATCCCCTTCTGCCGCTGGTATTCCCTCCATCTACTGATAGAAACATAAATTGATAGGAGAATCACAAGGCGGGTGAGGTTACGAAAGAGTCACCATGTGCTCCGGATTTTTCAGGAGTTCCATATCAAGAACACCAGAGCAAAAACTAATAAATGCATTAAAAAATACTTAAGACCTCTCTGATATCACATTCCTTTCTTCCAAGCCGAGATCTCTTCCCCATCTCGCCCCGCCATCTAAAAGTGTACTACACAAACGCTAGCCATTAACAGGAGAAAACCCGACTCCAACCCAAGAAAATCGCCACCCATGAGACCAACCCGGTCTCCCCATTCCCAAAAAATGCATTTACGCATCCAACAGAAGAAATGGAGGGGGAAACCAGAACCGAAGCCCCGGCCAAAACGCCAAAGAAGAGAAGAGAGAAAAAACACCATTCACGAAATAACACAGGATTCGCCATGAACATTCCTCCAATGCTCAATCGCAACTTCGCGCTCATTCTCGGCTTGCTTGATCTTGACCTCCTTGGGGAAATACTGCTTCAGGAAATTATACAACCCAATGTCCAGGTTCCTAGAATCGGCCCTAAGCACACATTGCCTTCTGCACATTGGACAGGCATCCTTTTCAGCCCTCTGAAGCTTAACAAGACAACGCACACAAAATATATGGTTGCAAGAGAGACGGACAGGTTTGATTGATATGCTGGAGCATATAGGGCAAAGATAGTCGTCTAGTTGTGGGATCACATTTAGGAGAGACGTGCACAGCGTATGGAAGATGGCCCTAGAGAGGTGTGAGGCTAACGGGCCAGCTGGTGCTACAAATGTTGGGAATGTTTGGCGGACACCAAGAGCTGTGCGTTTATCGAATTCTATCCACGGACCATTAGCCACGAGCAACCTGTGGGCGGCTGGAAGACAATACTTTTCAAAATCTTGGCCAAGGCAGTCTTGTTGATGTCATGAAACCGCATAACGCGAAGAAGGTCCATGTTCACGCTCAAGAACATTTTAAATAAAGAAGGGCTATAAGGATTTTTAAACCTGGCCTGGATACCCAGCCGCCGGATCTCGTCCGCAAAGAGGGTCAACCGTTCAGTTGCCTCTTCCACCGCCCTCTCCTGGTGCGATTCACTCTCGAGATTCGAAAAGAATATCCCGGACTCGAGGTATATCCTAAATATCTCGCGCCAATGGTAGAGGTCTGATTTATTGTTTCGAGATTTTGGTGCAGCAACAGCGGCGACGGACTGCCCGAGTTGGAGGACATGGGAGCGAATCTCGGATTGGGATCGAGACTGAAGAGCCTCCAGAGAAGCGATTCCAGAAGTTAGGAGATGGAAGAACTCGGAATCCGAGTGGAGGGTTATCTCAATCGTCCGAATGCTTTGCATCTCAACGTCAGATTTTGCTTTACCCGAAAGACTAGACCAACGCACCTTTTGCGGAACTCCGTACCGCCCTCTACAGCAGCGTCCCCAGTCCCCAATCCTCCCTTCCCCAGCTTTTCCTTAACCAGGCCCTCCAGTGAGCGCCGGGTGTTCTCTGAAAGGTCCAAATCGAGGGGAACCCAGTCGACGGTATCAATCGTCAACACCAACTTTGGTTGAAAACTATTCAGCGTGCCTATCCAACCCTTAATCAGCCCACTTTCCCCAAAAACTGCAAGAGCGAAGAGAAGACAAACCATCAAACATATATTTAAAAATCGGACTCCCGGCTTCCTCTACCAACCCCTTTAACACCTCCACCGTGAGCCCCAAATCCACTAACTCGGATTGTACTTTCTTGATACACCTTTTCAGCTCACGATACCTTATTGCAGCCGCCTGCCAATCAGCGGGGAAATCCTCCTCCCCGAGGACCCGGGAGAAGGAATGTGCAAACTTCATTTTGTTTGTATAATATTGGGTTTTTTTTTCGGGTTTTCTTATTTTTTTTAATTTTTTTTTGCAACGGAGTGAGGGGGGAAAAGATTTGAAAGAAAACTGTTCCCGAGGGAAATTCGGACGATAGCCTGGCTTAAATGAGCCAGAGACAGAAATGCCCAAAGACCAGACAAGGCGGGTTAGACCAGAAGATTGCGGGCGCTGTGCTGGACTATGCGCACCAGGATGGTACCTCAAACCCAAGAACCCGTTTCGGGAAACTGAGCACGCGACCAACTTTCAGGCCAAGATACTGGCACAGTACTCGAGTATCATAGCGGTAGCTTCCGGCTCCAAGGAACCAACCAAGCCTCAAACCGAACAATCCAAAGCTTAGACTTTTAGGTAAGCGATGGTACTCGAGTAAGGGGATTTCACAGGTTGAGCCGGGAGATGAAGGCTTATCCATGTATGATATCGTATGCAGAGCCATCCCTCCACTCGAAGCCCCACGACACCAAGGTCCAAAGACCCATCGTACCCTTATCACTGACATCCCGCCCGCGCTCGCCAAAACACAGTCCAACCCCAGTGCATGATATGATATAGCCGCCAGTGGCAACGCGGTATGATAGATCACTCTCGTCCAGCACGCTCAACAATATAAGATTTTCTACGACGGTCACTGCTCAAACAAGTGTCCCCAGCACCAGCAGTGCTGGGGGGCAATGGGCACAGTAGTATGATGGATGCGATTCTCCCAAGCAAGGGCCGGAGCAGCGCAACGACTGGTTGGACCTGGGTTGAAAGGTCGGGGGGCAGACCCCCAATCTTGGCGGGTAGAGTGCCGTGCAATACCAACATGCTATATACTCGAGACACAGACGCCAGCACAAAGAACAAGTGCCCATCAGAATGTCAGCGAGCAGTCAAACTCAGGCTAACCTGCAAAAAAATGCCTCCTCCCGCGTACGAAAACACCACCCGGGCACTTCGCACCGTGGACTGAAACTTCCCCCCCCGAAATCCGGCTTTCAAACTACCAGTGGAAGCCAGCCCCGTCAACCACGATAAGGTACGTTTGACAGTCGGCAGGTTCACAGAATTGCGAATACCGGCACTTTGCCGAGGAAGCACTTTCCCTTCCCTAGGGCTTTCTGCTCCCCCCCCCCCCCCCCGACCCCTTGGGATCACAGGGCTGGCGAGGATGCGAGTGGATCCGAAAAAGGATTTCACGCAAGCCCTCACGGCATTTACGTTTTTGGTTACTATTGCCGAGAAGGACGCTTTCGCACCGGGTCGAGCGCCCCTCCAATCACCCCCCCGTGGCTTATGAGTCACCGCCACCCACGAACCAACCATTGCCCCTCCGTGAGAAAAATGTGGGAACGAGATGCGGCGTGGCGAAAAGAAGATCCAGTGACGCTCATTGATTGTCACTCGATAAGGTGTGATCCTCGTCTATTGCTACCGTAGTAGATGGTAATATATGCTACATTCGTCCGGGCAGGGTCAGGATTACGTCATGCGGGGAGGTTCCTTGGGCTCCGCTACCGCAATCTGTCGATTCATTTGGCACGTCGGGCCTTCATTGCGACGAACCTTCTTCCGTGCGGTGCCTGTATCGTACCGCACAATCCCACACGGTCCAACGTGTCAACCGAGACCGCAACTCGCCATCCAGGTACCTGTACTGTACGGTACGAGTACCGTACTGTACCGTACGTGCAGTACGGGTAAAATGTCGCACCCTTTACAGTATGATACAAACACCCTTACGCTCGCAACTCGGCCCCTCCTCAATACCGTATGATAGACCCCATCTTCCTGTGTACGGTGACAAGGCATCATACCTTTAGTACTCGTACAAGTATGATACCGTATTCGCCGCCCCCTCAACGGAAGGCTCTGTGCCCTAGACTATCCTTGGATACACACACAAAGGAATGAAATGAAGAGAAAAGAAAAGAAAAAGATAATTGCCTTCCTGCTGCTCGTTTCCCCCCTCCCCCGCCGAGATATGTGAAAAAAGGGGCATTATTAAATTTAGAAGAGACGTCACTTTTTTGTCGCTTCCAACCCCCAAAAACTTACCCGTGTGATGATGATGAACGAGATTAATGGAGAAATCCCTCCGCCCTTTACCCCATCAGCGAGGCTGAATTTCCATTATAACCAAGTTACGTACGATACCAGCACCGCACAGCCGCACCTCGCTATCTATATAAGTTAATGGAATCTCTTGATACGGGAGCCCTCGCCATTACGAAAGAATCCTCTGGGAATTCACCCCCTGCTCCCCCCTCCCCACACGAACGGTATTCTCGTTAGATACGGGTATTCCGTTCCGAGCCCCTCTATAGCGAACGGGAAAATCCTGAACTCTTAGGATCCGTTACAGGGAGGTGCGGCCGCACAAGTACCGTACGATACTGTACTCGAGTACAAGTACCTGTTGCCCGCTGGCCTCCTGCTGCTTGCTCGCTTGCTTAGATAAAGGTTAATCTCCTTCCTTTACCGTAATGTAAGACTACGAGTAGTTCTGTGATACAGGACATTCAGTAATACAGTGCGTTGGAAATACGTAATTGAAAAATGCACAAGGAAAAAAAAAAAAAAACTCCCTCGATTTTACTCCACATCAATTCACCTCAAGTGCCTTGTTTTTTTTTTTTCTTTCCTGTTTTCCCAAGGTTTATGTTCCTTATGCCCTTTAGCAGGCGTTTTTGGGCATGGGCATAGAGAAAGAAAAAGGGTGAAAGAAATAAAAGCTGGCTTCCTTTCCCTTCCTTCCCTTCCGTCCTCCCCCCCTACCACATGCACACTCCTTTCCCTCCAGTATCTTCACAAAGATCCTGCCATCATATGTTCGCTCCGTGTTTGCCATCGTACCCTCCCGAAAACACCCCCCTCGACCACAGGAACGTTCGTACTCGACTGCCGATATCAGCTCTCGCAACTGGTGCCAGTGTTTTCTTGCAGGTCAAACGGCCCCTACGCCAAGCTCCCGGAACTCTGCCCCTTCGGCCGACTTGATGAACCAACTCATGGAAACTCACTCGGGCGCATGCCAGAATCATGGGCCTGGGGGAGATGGGGAGACCAAGTTTTCCTTCATATCACAAGTACTCGTACTGGTACTGCACCACCACTGCTTTTGACTTATCCTTGCTTCTCTGCCCCTTGGATGCAGGCATGTTTCGGTATTCCTGGGAACCGTGGTTTCGCCAGGAAGGATTCCCACTTACGACCACCGAGCAGCGCCAACCGACGCTTTCAGGCTCAGCTTTCTTTTTTTGTTTTTGTTTTGTCTCACCCACCATCTCACGCATGCTATTCAAGGGAAATTATAGGGAAACGGGTTTGGTATATTCCGTCCGGTATTTCACTGACGGTTAACAGTCTTCCATCTCCCTCTATCCATATCCCATCTCCTCCTCTCCGTTATTTCCCCCCAGGGAATCCCTGTGTGGTGGGCGACGTGGTGTATGTGACGGTTGAAAGAAAGAGGAAGGACGACTTTTTCGGGAATTCCACAGGTGCGTGAAAAAAAAGAGGTCAATAGGTTAACATCGTATAGCAGTTTGATCCATATCTTTTTTCAGAGGTTCTGGGGAATAGAGTGCGGAAGCAAGAGAGAAGGGACAACACCAATCACTACATTGGCTTCATCCCCTATGCCGAAAAAAGAAATGACAATGAAAGGAAAATCAGGGAACAAGGAGAAGAAGGAAAGAAAAAAAAGCGCTGGCCACCGGAAAATCCCATTTAAGAAATAAAAAAATAATAAATTCGCCGCCTCGGGAAGAGGGGATAGAGGTTGATCCGTTCTAGTTGAGTAGGAAATCGATTCCTGTGAGGAGAAAAGTGGTTGGGTGGGTTTAGTCAGACGGGAATTTTGATGAGAAGAAAACAAGGGGGTTCAGATCGAATCAGTTTTTAAGGGGATCGGGATTGCGGGGAGGGGAGGGGGAGCAGGTGGGTAAAACACACTCAGACTGTCCTGAGTATCGGCTGGTCCTGGAGCATCGTCCGGGCCCTGATCCTCCTTAGCACTTCCGTTTCCATCCTCCGCATCATCCTCCTCGTCTTCTTCGGCTTCTCCAGCACCCAGGCCCGGCCCCTGATCTCCTATTATACCGTGTTAGTTGGTTGTTCTAGATCGGGCTGGGGGGTGGGGAAGGGGCATGTACTTTTCCGGGCAGTGTTCTTGTTCCTTGTCCGCTGGTAGAGAAGGTATTCGGGTAGCCACGGGTGATCCTCAAAGTACCTAGAGCAGCCCGGAGTCATGTCTGCATACTGCTTAACACGCTCGATGAGGGACTGCTGCTGCGCGAATGAGAGTGTTGACCATGTCGGGGTGCGTGCGAAGCCGTTCTCTTGATTAAACTTCTGAAAAGCTTTGGCCGAGATGGTCTGTCATGCTCCCCATCCCTCGATCGTAAGAATCTTGATCGTCATGCAATATTGAGTGGGGTCAAGTTGGGGACGCTGGTGATGGAGGAATTGAAGCGAATGAACCGAAGTCAGAGTGAATGAGGGAGGAGTAGGGGGAGAGCTCAGAATGCCCCTCTCACGGCGGAGCGAGCCACAATCGACTTGAGCTCCTCCAAACCCCGTTTCCCTCCTTACCCACTCCCCCTTCCCTCTCCCGTAATAACATCTTTGGGCCCGGGAGGGTGCTTGAAGAAGAGAGGGGGGTGGAGACCTTCGCTGAACCAAGCCGGCATCCATGAAGTGCTTCTGCCACAAAGATTGCTTCCGTGGAAAAAGGGGAGGAGGAAGGATGGGAAGGGATTTGAAGACTTCTATAACAATAATAAAAAAGACCTCTCAAGCTGTTTTCTCCTCCCTCCTCCCCTGTTTCCAAGATTCACTTCGTTCCCGACTTTGAGGGGGGAACAGGGAGAAAAAACAACAAAAAGGAAAACTCACCACCAATTTGTTCCACTCATACTTTTCGTTCTTCAGACCGATCTGAGCACGGACGACGGATATTTTTGCAGTCTTCCCCCGAACTGGCGGGGACGTACCGGCACTACCTGATGCGCTCTTGGACATTGCGAGAAATCTTTTTGCTGATGGATCTGTTGAAAGAGGGGGTTTATCCATAAGGATGAATCTATTGGTTGCCTGATAAGCTTTTCCCTCTCTGTTTTTTTTTTTTTTTTTT